GGCAAAAGGGAACGCATGAAAGGGGACTGTGTTAGCCAATCCTCTGATCTCATTGGCAGCCGCCCTGGGTTGTCTTATGAGCCGTTTTCCGCGTGCGTCTGCATTCATGGGAGAGAGCTGACTGGTAGGATTTTTTTGGCAGGCGCGCGAGGGCTCGGGCGACACGAGGAAGGGTGTTTTGCACTCAGTGATTTTGGTGGAAGTGTGAGTGATGCTTGTTCCGTCTTCTTAATAAACAGTCACACGTATCTGAAAGGAATGGTTATTTTAAAGGTTTGGAAAATTTTCCTCACAGCAAGCATACCTATCGATCCTGGACACCTCTGGCGCTTCGGAAGATGCCAGACATATCACCAAGGGCACAAGACATAAGGGCAATCCGCCTCAGCCAAAGCCGGACACTTCGCCTCAGCCGACGCCGGGCAATCCGCCTCAGCCGACGAGGGCGCTCACAGCTGGCGCCTCAGTCGCGCCGCTGGACGGCCGGCGACCTAGCTGGCGCCACCGCCGCGGCCTGAGCTTCTAATCGGGGTCAGGTGACGGCTGACGCGTGCACCGCTGATGAGGGCGGGCCGGGCAGCACGCGGTGGCGCTGACTCAGCGGGGCGGCCGCGGCCCATTTGAGTCGCCCGCCCGTCGCGAGCCCCGGCTCCGCTGTTTGTTCTGGCGGCGCGTGCCCGGCTGACTCCGGCGGCCGACCCGTCATATCGCGCTCACCCCGTCGGCCGCGGGCGCTCGCTGAGGCGTCCAAGTCCGACGTGTCGCATATCTTGATCACGCCAGGGGGGTTAGACGCGTCGATGAGCATATTCAGAGCGGCACCGGTAGCCGGACCCGCTTATAGACGGGCTGGCGGGGTGCGCCAGATTGCTCTCGCCCGCCTCGACGAGCCGCGTGCGGGATTTATCAGTGCGGGCTCAGGTGGGCTCATGGTGCCCGTAACGTCCCCTGTCTACATGAGCCACCGGAGCACGGTTCTTTCTCGCACGGTCGAAGAGTTGTCCAGTAGATTCGACCCCTCGACAGCGCAGTGGACACTCATCCCACCGCCCGCGCGGCCACCTGTGGGTGACCTCCCCTTTGGTTGCCACCAGTCAGTCAGACATCGAGGCCCTTCTCCTCTCCACGGCCTCCCGTGTTCTCCTCCTCACCGGTGACGCCCCTCCCTTCGCGGCGCGCTGCAGCTGCCTCCCAGCACCAGTGACTTGAGGAGAGGCCGCGCCAGACGCCGCGGGACTAGACGGCACACCCGATTCAAACGCGTGAACAGCGTGTGTGAACAGGGAGCGACACCCACTGGCGGCAGCGACGACCCGTGGGGAGCGTCCGTCTTCCGGCCATATCAGCTGTGTTCAAAACGACACATTGTTTTTTGCACATTGACGGCACGATGTCCTGTTTGAAGCAGCTGACGCAAAGTTTCTAATGCCAGCTCAACGGAATTAATTGGCATGGTAGTGTGGCTTTATGACCATTCAAGGTCCTGACGAACAAAGAACCGTGCAACTTGGCTTTCAAAACGTCCATGCGCTGCAAGTGCTGTGTCGCAATATCGCTGACGTATTGGTCTGCGGTCGCCAAAAACTCAGCTGTTAGCTGAGCGTCGCGGGTCAAAACTGATTGGATTTCGGCATTGGCACACGGAAGCTTAGAAGCTTGGACGGCATGAGAGCTGGCGGAGACCACCAAACGCTCCATCGGGAGCCGCGCCTGGGAGACTGGGGGCGAGAGATGCGCGTGACGCCCATCGTGCCGTTGAGCCGTGGCCAGCGGCAACGCTGCAGTGGTGGGTCAAATGAATGGACTCCGCGACGTGGCCTCCCGGCTCGTCACGAACTCACTTTAGACACAAAGGTCAAAGGTAAGCGCGCCACCGCGGGAATGTGGCGAGAGGCTTGAAATACCTGCGTATCACTCACGCTTGCCGTCAGCCTGGCATCTGGGCCGCAAAAATGACGCACCACACTGAGCCCCGACTGAGCCAAAATGAATGCCGGAGCAATAGCCCTGGGAGCAGCGTGCTCTTTACTTCCAGTCCATCAGCCCGTGCGAATCCTGGCATGGGAAAGCCCATGCAAAGCGGAAAGCCAATGAAAACCTCCTTTCCGCCACATGACCCATTCTGGCAACGTAATCCGTACAAGCATTGGCTTGCGGAATGACGAGAGACGGTAGAATCATAAACAACTGCTCCCATATTTCGGAAAATTGTAATTAGCCTATGACGCCGCGTGGAACGAAACGGTGCGCGAAGCGTTCGTCTTATAATGGCTGACATGATTCACCACCGCTGTCGGTATCTAGGAGAGCCAATACCGCGACAGCAGACTGCATGCCTGATCCGACGGTCCCTTCACATACGCTTCACCCAGTACGCCGCATGAAATGTCGACCCGTAAGGATTCCCAACGATCAACAGGCGCACAAGATGGCAGTGGTGATGAACTCAGCCACGTTTAACTCAATGTAAAAATATTGCACTATTACGACTATCGTGCCACCACCTTACAAATTGGCGTGCAAATTGGAACAACGTGTCATAATTTCCATGCCGACCTACAGACCGCCCCTCACCACAGGTACTCTGTCTGTGGTTTCGAGTGCAAAAATAAGAACATGCCAATCAGTCGGGGCGTGTGAGCTTTGATGCTGAAACATAATCACACCATGCTGAGCGAAGCGAGCCCAACCTTGCACCTACCTGTCCTAAAAGCTTATCGTTGATCGCAGCTTCGCGAACAATTGTCACCCTTGCCTAACGAATACGCAAAATAACGGGTACAGCCCATACATCTGTGAGACGGAAACTTCGCTTATAAATGCATTTGTAGCTCCTGGAACTCCCAACAGGTGATCAGTAGCATGGCATCGTACTCACCAATGGTCGAATGAATGGTGAAACAGAAGAACATGGATCCCCAGAAGCCCCACGGGTTGTCGTCCGGGTCCGGGTGCCAGCGCAACAGGTTAAACTGCTCAAAAGACGTCTCGAGGAGGGCATCGATCTCACTCTGCACCTCCAGCCGGAACTCCGTCGCGTTTACGACCGCCCCGGGATCTGTTCTGTTCAGCAGACGCTCTACCACGTCCAGCTTCAGCTGATTTAGGTCCCTGTGCTGCCCGGACGCCGGCTTTTCCAGGATCATCATCACACAGGCGCCGATCGCGTTGTACAACATGAGCACGGCGAAGAGGAAGATGTGGGTGAAGCCGCGTCGCGACCACCGCTTCATCTTGTCCAGCACGGCCAGCGTGAAGCGCTCGCCGAAGCTGAGGCTGCTTTTTGCCGTCTGAAAGGCGCCGTCCTTCACGTCCTTCATGCGACTTTGCAGGTAGGAGGCCACCTTGGTCTTGTCCATGCTGGAAAGCACGGCGGGCATGGTGAGGCCCCAGGGCTCGGCCTGAGCCGGCCCGGGCTGACGGTGGCCGGCCTCCAGGTCAGCCGGCGGCCGGGCGGCGGCGAAGACGCAGCCACCACGTCCAGCTTCGGCGGCCGCCGCGGTTGCGGCGGCGTCGCCGCATGATCAGCCGAGTTCTTGCGACGCGGCGGCGGCGTCGGGAACACGCGGTCCGCCATAGTCTGCTGTCAGGCAGCCGGGGCTGCTTCCTCGGGGCACACTCCGAATGCTCCCTGGAGGCGGACTGAACTCTCCCTGGACGCACTTTGATCGCTCCCTGGAGGGTTCCGCGCACGCTCCCTGCACGCTGCCTGGACGTCTTCGACGGAGCGCGACCCCCGTCGGCGCCACACCCAACTGGCCAGTCTCCGGCCACCGACTGCCAGTAACCTGGGGCGCATTTATAGCAACGCCGGCCGTGTCAAACGCCAGCGACCTGTGACGTCACCGGTCGGTCCGGGCACATCAGGCCGGCATCCGGGCCAGGGCCGGAAACATTGTGACCCTGTTCGGTCGAGGAATGCCCTACCACGTGGTCAGAATGAGATGCTATTTTACGCCATCGAGGTGATTCCCATGCGACTTTTAGGGCTACGGCAGGGTGGGCTCGAGTACCGCACAGGCGAGGCCAGGACTGTCTTTGAAGTGCCTCATCCATTTTTTAACGCTACTCACCAAAGCTTTCTCACTAACGATGATGTAAATGATTAAGCAGAGTAAAATGAATCTTCAGAATCCACGGGGATGTCAATGGGGCTACAATGCTGGTGCGCGAGGTCAGACTGCACGGAAGTCACGTCGAACCGGTCATCAATCCTCTTCTGCGCCAGCTCCGAAGCGTCATCACGTCCACGATTGTACTGGTGCCGTTCACGATCTACCGCGCCCGTGCCGTTTTGTGGGTGCATTAGACACGCTATGGCGTACTTTGAAATGAACTTACGGAGGACACGAAGGGTCGTCCGACTTCGTGCAGTTTGCCAAACATTCCTTCAACCCAAGACTTTAAACTGTGCCGGGTGCGATGCCTCACTCTTGGCTCGTTAGTGCTATAAGCGTGAGTGCTGGGTGCGGTACCTCACTCTTGGAATGTGAGTGCAGTGTGTGAAGTTGTATGTAGCGATGCCTCACTCTTGGCTCGTTAGTGCTGTAAGCGTGAGTGCTGGGTGCGGTACCTCACTCTTGGAATGTTAGTGCAGTATGTGAAGCTGTATGTAACTGTGACGCAATGCAATGCAAAGCCCTCCATAACGTAATGCCCTCTGCTTATCCTTTCGGCTAACTTAGTCGATCGTTCCATAGATTGAAGTGCGACTCATTGAATGGCCTTTTTAGTCATCCAACGCCTTCATCGCGCCCAATTGCGGAAGCTCAGATGCATGAAAGCTTTTTGTCCTGTGGGGTTTTGCTCCAAAACCTGACACTCGGTGTCAGGTGTGTAACCCTGCTCTGTCATGCTCTGGCCCCACCCATAGCCCGAAGTGCTCTCGTAACAGCGGTTGTAAAACCACTTTCAGGTACCGCCACACGGGCCCGTTACGACCGTAATAACCATTAAATCCATTGCAACTGGGTCGCTCGATATTGCTAAGTCTCTGAGGACCCATATTCATATTCTGAAACGAGGACCTTGATGGACCCATGGATATAACCATGCATACCAACAAAAGCCCTGTTTGAGTGCTCGCAGTCCCCTGGAGTCCCCTTGCACCTGGGGACTGGATTCCCAATGAACACTTGAGGCGCTTCCTGGATGCCAAAACCAGGCATGGATGCACGATGGTGTAGTAGAGAGGGATGCTTCCGAGCCGACCCCAAATTTGGAATATCCCGCCTGTCCGTGTTCCGAGATGCTACCCGACTGTGGGTTCACACATCGCTCGTTTCCAAACTTTGAATAACGGTTGTTAATCATGTCTTGCCAAGTAAACTTTGCGGCTCATATTTGGGGCATCCTCAAGTTAAGAGTCATGCATACGTATATTGTCTTCACCATCTGCAGACCTCTTCTTGTACATGGCACTTGTTTGATCAGCAGCCGATAATCAGAACTTTCTGCGACGCGGTTCCCGTAATAGTGAGGTAGGGTAATATACGGGCTTTTGTGTTGTCTGCCTTAAACGAATCGCTCTGAGCCCAAGATTCATGGTGAGCCTGTCCTTCTGTCCGGTCTATTTTTGTCGCGCGCAAAAGCATTTCCATAAAGTAATTGGGTTTATTAAGAGCTTATTTTTCTTACTAGAATAGGGAGGAATTTCCCAGCTGAATCAGAAAGACAGTTTTTGCAGCAAATCGCAAACAAATGAAATAATGCTACCGTTCTCCTTTTTCCAAGACCGTAACGCTATGGAGTAAACTACTGTCACAAGTGAAGTACTCTTCCGCGTACTCGGGGCTCTTGCCCCAGGGCTCACGCTTAGGTAAAAGTTTCGCAAACTTATTACAGCGTCAAGATGATGCCCCTGTGAAAAAGACGGATCAAAAACGATTCATGGACGTATACACTGACTTTTCATGGGCGCAAGACGAGCACAGGGCCGTTGAACTTTGCAGGGAAACGCCGGCGAGCTCAGACGAAAGACATGTCATCTCCAGCTTAATATAGACACCGGTTTAGGCATCCGGTTAAAGGCATCCAGTCCGAAACCGGCATTTAACCGAAAGATCCGGTTTAAACAGGAAGGGCTTCAGGAACCTTCCAACGTGTGGATGTGACTGACAATGATGGCTTTATAGCGGCTTTCGATTTAGGAACACGATAACGTGTGATTGCGGGGCGGTGGCGGTCAGATGGCCCTAAAGCGATTACGACCCAACATCAAAACAACTCCGCCTGATCGCCAGGTGACGGAGCAGGTGCAGGGGTCGGCCACGACATCTGGTGATATGGCAGGAGGCCTGGGGGAGGGTCAAGGAAATTGTCCGTACTTTGAGGGCGACGCCACGGGTTCTGTTTTGGGGGCAGGGTTTTTAGGTGGCCTCTTGGACAAAATGGGGCCTCCTCGCAGGGGTGTAGTATTCAAGGGAAGGGGTACCGACAGCATGTGCCCCCTAATCAAACTGTAACCTGCATCATGTCCAAGTGAACAGGTGTCACCAGCTAAGAAAGAAATCCAACATGGGGGCTTTCTGATTATCCAGCAAAGGGTATCACTAGCCTAAAACAGGGCCTGCTATTCCAGAAAAAGACCTCCTGATGCAAAGAGGGGCCTCCTAGTTCAGAACAGAACGCATGCGATTTACGAAGGGGCCCCCAAAGCTAGCCAACAGGCCTCGCTATCTCGAAACCTGACCCTGATCCGGAACTATGGCCATCAGATGCATGAAAATGACCTATTCCAGAAACGGGACCTCCTGAATATAGGGGGTGCCTCCTAAACGGGAACAGAGACCTTCTAGGTTATAACGGGGCCTCCCGAATCAGCCAGGGAGCCTCCTTAAGGCAGCACTGAGCCTCTTGGTCTAGAGCACTGGCTACCTCATCTATAAAAGTTACCTCAGGACTCCGGAGAGGGTCTGTTGATGAGGCAAAGGGTCTTCTGAGCCCGATTTTGTATTCTCTAGTTCAGTTTTCGGGGCCTTCACTATCTGCATTTTTGGAATTCTACGCGTAGCCAGAACGCCTCTAGTTGGGAAAAGGGGCCTCTTATTTTTTAGAGGGGGAGGAAACTGCTCCCCTCTGCCCTTACCCTGCTGTGCCGTCCCTGCCTCACTTTGTGGTCCTGTAAGAGCCTTGCCGTAAGAGCATCGTCGAGTGGTCATCGCGAGACGGAGACAAAAACACGCTGCCACGGGGAAAGATACGGCTGGATTCATCTAGCTGGAACATCCGCCTCCCGGAAGTAATGAAAGGAAAACAAAGTACAAAGATCTTCACTGCGGAAAACTCGTGCGTGTGTAGTTCTGAGGTTGCCGCCGTGAACTCAACTCCTATAACTTAAATCATGATCAAACCATGAGGATGCCGTTATCACACATTACCCCTCGCCATCCACATGTTGCATGTGTACGTTTTGGTGTAATATGCTGTAAAAATCTCATGACCAGAAGGAATGTCCAATTGCGCGTGGAAGTGCTTTTCCTGAACACAACCTTGCCTCACGCTAGCGTGCCAACGAAATGCGGACAGTGTTCGGAATTATTTTGAACTCTTGAGTTGTGTTTACTCTTCGTGTTGTCTCCTTTTTTTGCCTTTTTGCCTCCGACAACATAGAGTCACCTGAAAACAACATTTGAGAGCTGTGAAATGCTTTACGTACCCAGCCCAACGTGTTCAACAAAGCTCAGTTTGACACGCACATGGGTGCGTTGAAAATGCGGAAGCATTTGTCTCTTACAGGCCGTCTGCCAGACTAAAACATAGATTTAATGCCCCGGTCAGGAGGCCCCAATACCGAGAACGTGTGCCTTCTGCCGACGGTCACTATGAAAACAAACCAGCCCATGCGACAAAGCTGAACGTCCTGGAATTGGCGGCGGCGACGTTCTCTAATCCCTTCCAGGAGGCGCCTCAGCAGCGGCGTCGCTAGGATTCGCGTATTGGCGGGCCTGCTCCGGTGTTTTGGTGGACTCCCCTTGTGTTTTATGGGAGGGCATAGAGATAGGAATAAGACCATTTTTTGGAAGAATACGTGAATAAATTAGTCGATGAAGTCGAATGACAAAAACGGCAACGTCCTACCGGCCGCTTGGCAAGACACGCAAGGCTCCTGGGAACTGTAGTCCCCCAGTCAACACTGGTGCGACCCCTCCGCGCTCGGCCTATCAGTTCACGAATCCTCTGTGACTCACCTAGCGGCTTATGAATCGCCGTTTCAGTGTGTTCCTGGGCCCCTTCCCCTTCCCCCTGCGATGGCCAGACTGGTGCCGCACGCTGTTGAAGTGCACCACACCGCGAAGACGCGGCGCGGCAGACGCTACACCAGCACCACTCGCTTTCGCGCTACGCAAAGAAGCTGGATCTGAGCCTGCATAGCCCGACCGTCACTTCCGCTAGAGAA